ATGTATGTATATATGTATATACACAGATACTGTACATACATATGCTGCATATACACACCAAGTACTTTAAACACAATATGAAAAAAAAAAAACGTAAACAAAATGACAACTGCCAAACTGAATTTTCTCATTTAAACAAAAATTAAATACATACTGTAAATTGTATGAAATTATTTTTATCTTTAACCAACACAATTTAATTCTTGTTCAACTGTCAAACTGACAGACTGTACATAAATTTAAAAAGTGGCTCCTAAATATTTAAATATAATCAACGACAAAATGTAAAGCACCGTGTAAAACATCAATTATGTACCTGGCAATAAACTAAAATACACACAAAAGAAAGCTTCCTGATCTTCTGTGTCAAATACTGTAAACTCTGGTCTACTGATCAGCTCGACAGTAGTCGACTCTCCAATGCCGCAGCTAAAATTAAACCTTTACATTTATAATCTGTACATGTCACGGAAGATTAATGCATGATAACGTTTTGTACTGTCATCATTAGGTATACAAAAGGGACAGAAATAAGGTACTCTAGCAACTATGGTCAATGGCAGTAAATGGTATAATGCTGAAATATTTCTCAGACAAATTTATAATTCCTGGAATGTTACATGCTGCAACGCTTGAAACATCTTACAAGTTGAGCACGATGGAATAGTGGCAGTGATAGTTAAAGGGCCAACAGTAGGGACCTTTGGGTCAGGTTCATATTTTATGTAAAAAGGTATAAAAATATTTTAAAAACTCTAAAAAGAGTACACAATGCACTACTAGTATGTCATACAAAAATGACTGGTTGAAACTTAACATGTTTGTGGAAGTCATAACAGAAACTTGTGTACATATGAGGGAGGGCAGGTTTAGGAACCTGACCCTTCCCTACTGCCCACCTTGACAAACTGTCGGCAATCTTTGGCAACAAAACAATTTATAAACTTATCTACGTGGCTACACACAATGCAGTTTTTCATGCACCACTATAAACAGGATAGCCACTTTATAACAATCCAAAACAAAGCAGGTTCAAAATAGGAGAATAACCTGCCACACAAATACATCAGTCAAGGCTAGGACACTTACTTTCTGTATCTTGAGAGTTGTATGTAAGGCACACACTACAGTTTTAGGAAACTAAGTTAGACAGTGCAACCATGCAACAAGCCTTTACAATTCAAGTACAGACTTGAAAACATCTGTTGCAAGGGCAATACAGTCTAAAATGTTTCCTATAATTGAAATATGCCTATGTTACATATAAACTCCTGGTATACATATACCATTTGTTGTTATACCTTGAAATTTGTATACAGGTATTCCCATTTGGCGTTCAGTAGGTGCCCTCACATTTACAGGAATCGTACATCCGCAGTCATACAAAAACCTGTCTGGCATTCACATCACCAGATAAATATAACCATAAAACAAATACATGACTTATTTACATGACTAAACAATAGTGAAATTACTTGTATTGTGGTTGCTTTGGGCTGGTCCAACACCTTACATATCATCCAAAAGTTACTACTTTCAAAAAATTTAAAATTTCATGATCAACCAGTTGACCCAGTTATAATAAATATTTCTCAAAATTTAATTTGAATTAACTTCTGGTCTACTACCTGCCTAAGCAACCATATCACAAACTAACGTTGAGGCTGTGTTGCACCTGACAAACCTCACTCTTGCATCACTTACTCTGGCAGTGCAATTTGAACACAGTCTGAATGTGGTTATGGAGTTGGTGCTTAATTTAAGTTTGTCTCATAATATACTATTTCCAAATTGGTTTCCTCAGAAATAACTTTTAAGAGAAAACCCAAGTGACGTGGACAGGAGCCACATGCAGGATTTGGAATTCACCTTATGAGGAACTTGGACTGTCCCATTCTATGAGGTACTGAACTTTATCTTCAAAACTAATTCTTTTTGCTATTACATGGAACTTTTCACCACTTGCAATCCGGTTTGCAGCCCCAAAATAGTTGTTTACAGTTGATTTAAGGTCATTGAAGGAGAAGCCAGTATCTCCAACTTTATTATCCTCCACTACATCACTACAGTCATCTTTAGAGCCCGTATGTAATCTACCACCGAGGGCATAGTCCACACAGTTTTTTATGCTGTTTGTGCCATTTAATCTTATTCCATTTCCACCATTTATACTTAAAGAACCATTCTGCAGAAGGAACATGATCTTAGCTTTGTCGCACTTCTTGCGGAAACGTCTTCTCTTCACTTCACCGTTTTTCCCAATGCGGATGTCATTTTCACTCAGTTTCCGCTTAAGAGGTCTAATAACAGGCATACCATAGCTGAGTGAATCCAGATTAAGAAAGGGATTATTCTGACCTTCGAAGTTTGAGGGAGGAGGAATGAAGGAGTCTAAAGTACCATGTGACGAAGTCTCATCTCCACTGGTATCACCTGGAGTGACGCAATTTGGCGTTGGTATATCAAGGCCTGATTTGCTAACAGGTCGCACACCTTCTTCCTGAAAACATTTAATGCTTTTGAGCAAAGGCAATAAAAAAACAAATATGAATATATATAGTGAGTATGTATGAGTATCAACTTATATGTGGCTGTTCTTAAAACTATGTGCGGAGTCTGCCTTCACCAAGATCATTCCACTTCCTGACCACTCTGAAGATAAATATTTCCTAATACTCCTGTGGCTCATTTTTGCCTTTAACTTCTAATGATGTCTCTGAGTTCCAGCTCATTGCCTCTCAAAACAGACTATCCCTGTCTACTTTTGCAATATTCATGGGTATTTTGTATGTATGCTATGACCCCATCCCAGTTCTTCTGTCCCCCAGTGTTGTTAGGCCCAATTTCATTAGCCTCTCCTTGTAGCTCATGCCTCTTAGCTCAGAAACAAGCCTTTCTCCAGTTTCTTAACATTCTTTATCAGGTTCAGGTTCCACACTGGTCCTGCATACTCCAGGATGGGCCTAACATATGTTGTATAAAGGGCCCAGGATGACTTTCCATATTCCTGAAGGTTACTTTAAAATTTGCCATTCCAAGAAGGACTGGAAGTATTTTATTATTATTATATTAACATTTTTTTTTAACACATCAGCCAGTTCCCACCAAGGCAGGATGACCCAAAAAAGAAAGAAAAAATTTTAATCATTCAACACTTACACCATTGAAGGCAGTGAAGAGTTTTTACGAGGATAGCGAGGCTCAAGTTAGAGTATGTAGGAAAGAGGGAAATTATTTCCCAGTAAAAGTAGGCCTTAGACAAGGATGTGTGATGTCACCGTGGTTGTTTGATATATTTATAGATGGGGTTGTAAGAGAAGTGAATGCGAGGGTCTTGGCAAGAGGCGTGGAGTTAAAAGATAAAGAATCACACATAAAGTGGGAGTTGTCACAGTTGCTCTTTGCTGATGACACTGTGCTCTTGGGAGATTCTGAAGAGAAGTTGCAGAGATTGGTGGATGAATTTGGTAGGGTGTGCAAAAGAAGAAAATTAAAGGTGAATACAGGAAAGAGTAAGGTTATGAGGATAACAAAAAGATTAGGTGATGAAAGATTGAATATCAGATTGGAGGGAGAGAGTATGGAGGAGGTGAACGTATTCAGATATTTGGGAGTGGACGTGTCAGCGGATGGGTCTATGAAAGATGAGGTGAATCATAGAATTGATGAGGGAAAAAGAGTGAGTGGTGCACTTAGGAGTCTGTGGAGACAAAGAACTTTGTCCTTGGAGGCAAAGAGGGGAATGTATGAGAGTATAGTTTTACCAACGCTCTTATATGGGTGTGAAGCGTGGGTGATGAATGTTGCAGCGAGGAGAAGGCTGGAGGCAGTGGAGATGTCATGTCTGAGGGCAATGTGTGGTGTGAATATAATGCAGAGAATTCGTAGTTTGGAAGTTAGGAGGAGGTGCGGGATTACCAAAACTGTTGTCCAGAGGGCTGAGGAAGGGTTGTTGAGGTGGTTCGGACATGTAGAGAGAATGGAGCGAAACAGAATGACTTCAAGAGTGTATCAGTCTGTAGTGGAAGGAAGGCGGGGTAGGGGTCGGCCTAGGAAGGGTTGGAGGGAGGGGGTAAAGGAGGTTTTGTGTGCGAGGGGCTTGGACTTCCAGCAGGCATGCGTGAGCGTGTTTGATAGGAGTGAATGGAGACAAATGGTTTTTAATACTTGACGTGCTGTTGGAGTGTGAGCAAAGTAACATTTATGAAGGGATTCAGGGAAACCGGCAGGCCGGACTTGAGTCCTGGAGATGGGAAGTACAGTGCCTGCACTCTGAAGGAGGGGTGTTAATGTTGTAGTTTAAAAACTGTAGTGTAAAGCACCCTTCTGGCAAGACAGTGATGGAGTGAATGATGGTGAAAGTTTTTCTTTTTCGGGCCACCCTGCCTTGGTGGGAATCGGCCAGTGTGATAATAAAAAAAAAAAAACATTGTCATCACTACTACTGCTGCATTCACTACAGACTTTCACAAGTTACATGCAGGAGGGCCCTGCTTATACGGCTTATTAGGTTTCAGGCTATGGCCATAAAGTGAATCACCCTTTTCAACTTTTAAATGCATGTAAATGCCTGATAACATGTTTATACTATCATATATTAAATTAACAACAGAATTAGGCCTAAAAATACAATAAAAAATTTAAATGTATATTCAGTCCATTCATTACTTACCTTAAAATATTTTTTTGGCCTTAACATAAGGTGAGAGGTGAATAGGAAGCCAGGTGTGGCAGCCTGAGAGGTGAGTAGGAAGCCAGGTGTGGTAGCCTGAGAGGTGAGTAGGAAGCCAGGTGTGGCAGCCTGAGAGGTGAGTAGGAAGCCAGGTGTGGTAGCCTGAGAGGTGAGTAGGAAGCCAGGTGTGGTAGCCTGAGAGGTGAGTAGGAAGCCAGGTGTGGTAGCCTGAGAGGTGAGTAGGAAGCCAGGTGTGGTAGCCTGAGAGGTGAGTAGGAAGCCAGGTGTGGCAGCCTGAGAGGAGTAGGAAGCCAGGTGTGGTAGCCTGAGAGTTGAGTAGGAAGCCAGGTGTGGTAGCCTGAGAGGTGAGTAGGAAGCCAGGTGTGGTAGCCTGAGAGGTGAGTAGGAAGCCAGGTGTGGCAGCCTGAGAGGTGAGTAGGAAGCCAGGTGTGGCAGCCTGAGAGGTGAGTAGGAAGTCAGGTGTGGCAGCCTGAGAGGTGAGTAGGAAGCCAGGTGTGGTAGCCTGCCTGGCTGCCACACATCACAATTATGCTTTACTGTGATTGTATATACATGTATTTTGTTCATATATGTAGCATATTTTTTACATAATTTTGAAAAAATGTCATAGATGAATTAATAAAATGTCTATAATAACATAATATATGACATTTAAAGCACCCAGTGATTTCACTGTGTACGTGCATACCAGAAGGTACAGGCACACACAAATACAATTAAAACATTTGAAATTCTGGAAGTTTGCAGACATAATCAAGAGACTCGGAGCTCATGGAGGATGTAAACAGTGGATAGGTGGTGTGTAGATGCCATAATAGCGAATCAGGGAGCCGTATAAACAAACTTTTGGTTATAACTTGAAATGTCCATATTAGCGAAGTGCTGTACAGCAGGGCCCTACTGTATCTGAAAATGCACTGAACAGAGTAATACATGAGAAATGTTAGGCTATGTTCCAAGAATCTAAAAAGTTAAACCCCTAAATAAAAATATTCTGAAGTACAGTACTGGGCTCAGACCATATTAACCCTTTGACTGCCGCAACCCCAAATCTTGAGGTGTCTCCTGGCGTCGCAAAATAATTGAAAAAAAAAAAAAATACTTACAGAATTATGCTCTCGCGAAGTTAGCGACCTCGGTGATATTTACGAATAGGCGATTTCGCCCACTTTAAGCTCTATTTTCGGCTAATTCCATTGTTCCAGTCAACCAAACTCATAACTATTTCTTTCTAACTCCATTTGTTCTATCGATTGAGTGAAAGAAACTGCCCATTTACCAATTTCAATTACCCAATAAAGTGGTCAGAAATTGGCAATTTGGCCAATTTCACGCAAATTAAAAAACATGTTAATTTCAAAATAGGGTCCAGAATGAACACTGCAGACATTCCTGGCCCTAAAATAACATTTTCTTTGTTCATCAGTCATGTTTCCAGGCCCCTCTGATAATACTCTTGCTTTCTATTTTGAATTTTTATTCAAACAAAAAATAGAAGATTTACTGTTATGCAGACTACTGCAATACTGTAATAATTGTATAAATAATATCAACCCATTCATGACTGCATATTAGAATGACTAGTTGGACATGTATTGGACAATGACATCATTTGTTTACTCTTGAACATCGGCAAAAATTAAACATTTCCCCTACTTTGAGCTCCATTTCAAGGTCCTTTTCATAGTAAAACCAATCAAAATCACGTCTATTTCTATATGTTTTCCATTCTATCAAATGTGACTACGAAAACAAGAATATAACTATAAAAACTACACGAAAATACACCTCAAAGTCGGCATTTTAATCCAAAAACAAGGTCGGAGTTTTTTTTTCTTATTATGCACTGGGTGCTGCAGGATTTTTTTTTTATATGGTACACACTGACCACACAGACCCATTCTCTCACATGTGGGCCTACCAACTTTCTCCTGCTTGATTTGAAGCCGCTAGAATTTTTGAGTATACATACGTCAAACACATTGGCTTGTAAGACGTATATATACAACTGAAACAGTCAAAGAGTTAAAAACCTGCAACAGAAAGTCAATGCCCGGCTCAGTTGTGTGGGACCTTCACCTTCAATCCCTGACTATCAATACCCGGCTCAGTTGTGTAGGACCTTCACCTTCCATCCCTGACTATCAATACCCAGCTCAGTTGTGTGGGACCTTCACTTTCAATCCCTGACTATCAATGCCCGGCTCAGTTGTGTGGGACCTTCACCTTCAATCCCTGACTATCAATACCCGGCTCAGTTGTGTGGGACCTTCACCTTCCATCCCTGACTATCAATACCCAGCTCAGTTGTGTGGGACCTTCACTTTCAATCCCTGACTATCAATGCCCGGCTCAGTTGTGTGGGACCTTCACCTTCCATCCCTGACTATCAATACCCGGCTCAGTTGTGTGGGACCTTCACTTTCAATCCCTGACTATCAATGCCCGGCTCAGTTGTGTGGGACCTTCACCTTCCATCCCTGACTATCAATACCTGGCTCAGTTGTGTGGGACCTTCACCTTCCATCCCTGACTATCAATACCTGGCTCAGTTGTGTGGGACCTTCACCTTCCATCCCTGACTATCAATACTCGGCTCAGTTGTGTGGGACCTTCACCTTCCATCCCTGACTATCAATACCCGGCTCAGTTGTGTGGGACCTTCACTTTCAATCCCTGACTATCAATACACAGCTCAGTTGTGTGGGACCTTCACCTTCCATCCCTGACTATCAATACCCAGCTCAGTTGTGTGGGACCTTCACCTTCCATCCCTGACTATCAATACTCAGCTCAGTTGTGTGGGA